TTTTTTAATTTAGAAAAACACTTACAAAATATTTTTTATTTTTAATTAAAATAATTTTTATCAATAATCTTTTTTAAATGTAAGTATTTTTTGGTATATTTATTTATTTTATAGATGTAAATACTTTTTTGATTTAAAAAATGTTTAAGGACTTAATCGTTCAAAATATAAAAGTTCATTGGTTTTTTCAAACTTTTTTATTATTATTTTACCATATTAACCAATTTTATAAGTCATAATGATGTATCTAACATATTTTGAAAAATCCAAGGAGTTGTTTAACAGATTTTGAAATCTTCAAGGACTTATTTATTGCAAAAAATTGTCCGAAAACTTAATCATTTCAAATACGAAAATTCATTTTGTTTTTTTAGACTTTTTCTTTTATTTAAATAGAAAGGATATTAGGTTAACACAAGATATGATTTGTATTTTTTCTTTTGTGTTTTAAATTTGGAGATATTCAATGTACCACCGCCAAGAACACCCAACCCAAACCATGGTTAAATAGAAAGCAGGCAGGAGCGCATTGCGCACACCGAACCCGTTAGCGGACGCTAGTAAATCCCAGGGAGCGCACTGCGCACCCTGAACAAGTTAGCAAACCATGGTCAACCTGAAAGAATCCTCCGTTTGCCTATATAAAGAAGCCCATTTCCACGCTTGGTTACCCACACCTGCTTCCTTTCGTTTTAGAGCTTCAAATTCTATTCAATTCTCTCTTTAATGGCTGCCGCAGACGTTGAATATAGATGTTTTGTTGGTGGCCTCGCATGGGCCACTACTGATCGATCCCTTGAAGACGCCTTCGCTCAGTACGGCGAGATCATCGATTCGAAGGTCCGTTTGTCGCAAAGTTCCGATTCGGATCGATCCCGATTCGGCTTTGTTTGACAAATATCACACGATAACAAATCTCTCTTCTGTTACTGTTACTATGGTTTTCTTGATCTGTTACTATTTGTGTTACTTTTACTGATAATCTAAAACGGTACGTTCATCCTCTTCTCTTATAAGAGACGACGATCGATCGATTTTATGATGCAGTTTTATTCTTATTTATTTATTAATGATTTCATTGGTTTCAGATCTTGATGTATACATGTTTCCTTGTATTGTTCAGATCATCAATGATCGCGAGACCGGCAGATCTAGAGGATTCGGTTTCGTTACCTTCAAGGATGAACAATCATTGAGAGACGCGATCGAAGGAATGAACGGTCAGAGCCTTGACGGACGTAACATCACCGTGAATGAGGCGCAGTCCCGCAGTGGAGGCGGTGGAGGCGGCGGTGGATTCCGTAGCGGTGGAGGCGGTGGTCGACGTGAAGGTGGATACGGTGGTGGTGGTGGTGGTGGTTATGGAGGTGGCCGTCGTGAAGGAGGTGGTGGTGGTGGATATGGAGGAGGTCGTGACCGTGGTTACGGCGGTGGTGACGGTGGGGCCCATTACTCGAGGGGAGGCGGTGATTCCGAGGGAAACTGGAGAAATTAGTTAGAGATATAATTATCGGGATCTGGTATCGTGTTTTTGATTTACGAATCTGTTGTTGTGTTTCACTGTTTTTGACCTGTTACTCTCTGTCCTTGTCCAATCCGATGCTTTTAGAAAGCAAAAAAGTTATAATGAATTTTTTTTATGATTCCGGTATATCAAAGTCCATTGATGAAATCGTATTTGTGCTCTCAAAAGTATTCGCCCAATTGCAACATTTGAAGCTTTAGGGTTCTTGATCAAGCTCGTCAATGGTGGTTATGCTTAATTTTGTAGTAGGATGAATTCTGGGGGTGTTTGGGATTGTTCCGGTAATAAGTATTTTTATACCAGTTGTATGGATAGTTAATACCGATGCCAAATTGGTAATAAAGAGTTTTTGAAGAAGTTAAATCATTTTAAAGGGTTGTTTGTTTATCTTTTAATAGTTTCGTTAAGAGGCAACTTTTGAATCGTTAAGAGGTGAATATTGTTTGGTAAAAAAAAGTTTGTCTCTAAATGGTTTTAAAACCCTTTGAATAATTTTGTATTATCGGCCTCTCTTTAACCATTAAGAGCTCTAATTTTATTTTGAACAATTAACAAACAATTATATTTCATTTTGCATTATATTATGAGAAGTCTCTTAATTATTCTTACCATTTAATGATTTTGCACAAAACCATTCAGTAACTGTCAAACAACCTCTTAACTTTTGATAAAGACTTTTGTAGAAAAACATAAGTTGTTTCAAAAATAGGCAATCCAAAACACCCCCCTCAAATCCACGAGTGGAGTGATATTCTACAAGGAATAAGAAACTTAAAGGGATGTTTACAAGACAAGTATTTATCATTGCCATCAAAATGAACTGATGGTTAACATTTTATCAAGTAAGAATCATCATTTTCACTTATTAGGTAAGACTCTTGATGTTTGTTATTTTTCTTAAAAGAAAAAACTCTCGATTCTTATTATGTTTGATAAAAGTAATTTCAGTAAAGCAAAGCATTCATTAGTTGGGGACCAAAAGATGGGGGGTATCTTGGATCAACACAAAGCATATTCTACCAAACAAATTAGTAGTTTGACCTGAACGTTATTAAAACGATCTGGATAGGAACTGTGGTTATACAAAAACCACACACCTTTCTTTCTATTTTTTCTATATTTTTAAATTTGGTCCACATGGTTTGTTAAAAATAACATTTTTGCCATAATAGTTTCAAAATTACAAGATGATCTTGTTATAATGGAAATTGAGAAGGATTTTTGAAAGTAGATTCTTCTTTTTTATCAATCAAAAACCTAGGGTTCCCTTATCGGGGATCCTTGGGGAAGAAGATCACCAGTAGGTTTGTCTAGAAGCAGCCATCCCGTACGGAGGTAGAAAGCCCACGGGTCGGAAGCATCCATCCTTGAAAGAGTGCGTAATAGCTCACCGATCGAGCGCTTGTATTACTGTGGCTGCTGGCACAGATTACACATAGTATGCCCTTCCTCCATCAGCGTATCTTTGAGAATTTGGTCCATCCTTTTAATAACCATTATCATAGTTTTTACAAACTATGATAATCATCTTGTAATTTCAAAACTATAAAGACAAAATGGGTTATTTGTTACAAACCCTAGAAACCAAATTTGTAGTTTTCTATTTTCATATTATAAAATAAGTTTATAAATTAAGTGGATTTTATTTTACATCTCAAATGAAACTGAGCCGATACCATTTGGTCTTTTCTTTTTAAATAAAGGTTTTCTTTTCAAAGAAAGCAAAATATTTCTTGCGTTTTCCATTTTTTCTTTTTTAATAAATAAAAAAGTTTGTGTGAGTGGTCTTCTAAATAGATTTTTTTTGAAGCATTGTTTGGTAAATTAAGCTAACTTATTTGTAGGTACATATTTGAATGCATATAAGTTCGTTTATTTGAAACATTATTTGGAGTAACGTTTTGGTAGCTTATTATTTTTTCAAATTATAACCTTCATTAATAATAATAATTGTTTTGTTACTATAAATTATAAATAAAGATTTAATAAAATTTAAATATTACTAATATTAATAAATATTAATTATTATTAAAAATTAATTATTAANAACAATTGGTATCAGAGCAGGTCACGGGTTCGAATCCCATGGTGTGCATAATATGCAAGGAGTGGATAATTATGAGAAAGGCATGTTGCGCGGCCATTGACTTCTAACGAAGCTCTTATTAGTACCGGCAGATGCTGGGGGGGGATTGTTGGTCACGGTTCCAGCATCTTCCTAAATCGAAACGTGGCGCTGGCTGCTACGCTATAAAGGGAAATAAGGTTGCGCCTTCACCAAGGCAATTGCTTTTGGTGTAGTGGGTAAGCGCTTGATCCTAACAGAAAGGGACTGCCAATCTTGGACTCTGGTATCCAGAGGGTACTAGCTTTGAACTAACAACATACTCAGATGCAGATTATGCAGGGTGTATGTTGGACAGGAAGAGTACTTTGGGTCATGTACAATTTCTGGGAGACAAACTCGTAAGCTGGGCTTCCAAGAAACAAAACCATGTATCCATTTCTACCACTAAAGCAGAATACGTAGCTGCTGCTAGCTGCTGTTCTCAAGTACTTTGGATGCAGACACAGCTCAGAGATTATGGTTTTTATTTTAATAAAATTTCCATTTATTGTGATTTGAAAAGCGCAATTGCTATATCTTGTAATCCTATTCAAGACACTAAAGACCAAACATATAGATATCCAGTATCACTTTATTAAAGATAATGTTGAAAAGGGAACTATTGAATTATATTTTGTAAATACAGAATTTCAACTAGCTGACTTATTTATGAAAGCTTGAAGTTCCCTGATAATCAATCTTCAAGATAATACTCATCTATGGCAGATTCAAGTATGAACATTAAGAACATTCAAGATGAAGTTTTGAGAGAGAAAGTCAAATCTCACAATATGGTCAAACTCTTATTTACGTAATCAGATTTAACAATAAAAGAATCCTACCTAATTACAAAGAACTTACCCTTTATATAGGGTCAAAGATGTAAACAAAGTCAAAGTCAAACAATCTATATAAAAGTCAAACACAATGACTTTTATACAATTATAGACAATTTTAACTTTCAAGACGAATTTTTATTTTACACTGAATTTCAGTCCTAACATTCTCCCCCTTTGTATTCAGACTTGAACGAATTTGCGCGTTTTGAGTCTCGTTTGAAATTTGTTGCTTTAAGCACTCTATGTCTTCATCAAAAGAATCTCCAACTTGAAATCTTCAAGCAATCGTTTGTTGAGAAAGATCTTCTAACATTCTCCCCTTCGAATGTAGAACAACGATGATCTTCTCTTTTGACAATGTAGAACAAAAACAATAACAATCTTCAGAATTAAATTTTAACAAACTTTCTCTTCAAAGGTAATCTTCATCAGCAAACTGTTGTAAAATTGATCTTCACATTCAACAACTCTTAGACATTGTAGCACGTAACTAATTTTTTGTAATAATATCCAGTCGCACTCCTTTTGAGTCTTTTGCCATCATTGAAGTTACTCCCCCTTGATCTTTACAACAAATTCCCCCTTATAATGTTCGGAATTGGACATTTCATTCATTATTACATATTCCTCTTATGATGAAATGAGAATCATTACATCATACACAAGAGTGAATGAAATTTTCAGGGAAAGCCGTCAATTAATGAAATTGTAAGTAGATCTTTTCAAATCCACTTGTTTAATCTTTTCAGATTAAGGGAATGAGAAGATAACAACCAATTCCAACGTATGAAATTGTTTTCAATCTTATAAAAAGATTGGTCTGTGAGTATAACAGATATACTCAGTACAACGATATATTGTATATATGAGACTTTATGAGGCTCATCTCACCAGGTCTTCCATTCAATCATTGATAGCTTAATAATTGCATATCTATGAATGTTTTGGCAAAATAATATATAAAATGCAATCTGTGTAGTGTAGAAAGATAAAGCAACATATGCTTCTATTTAGTCTCAAAAAGATAAACCGTGTGGAGTACACAAATTTATCAGACTCAATTAGTGATCAAAAAGACTTTAAGGGGGGACATATATCCTTCTGATTCAATATCAACTTTCTCCGAAATGAGAAATTGATAGATGATGAGCTGCGTGCCCCAAGTGTTATTGAAACACTTATCTGTTGAGAGATAAATGAGTAGCTGGTGGGGTTGTAACAAGAACTGGACTGGGCTTTGCCTTTTTCAATATTAGTCTCGAAAGATTTGAGAACTAATAAATTATGTGGTATGCCCAGAATTTAGAAGTTTGGAACAGGATCTTGTTTATTCTTTTGATCCTGACACAATGCTCATCAATTCTTTTGTCTCACATCAACTACCCCTCTCTTTTCCATTTTCATCTCTGCACACAAACCCTTTTGTGTTTAATCTCACTCAGATATGGTTGTCCTCTTGGGTAGGTCCATCGGTTCTGACATTCCATAGAGGTATTTCTGTTAAGCACTCGGTCTCTCCTAAATAACAGTATGCTCAGTTGATCACATTGGTTGATCAAGAATATTATTGCAAATAAAGCACAATGATCAGATAAAATTGATCAAGAAATTTGGCTTTTAAGCACAATCAATAAAGGAATGGTGCGACAACAATCAGATTATTCGGTATGCGAGAGAAATGAATGAAGATCTGTAAGAACGAGTTTACAAATTCTAATAAAAAAATGAAGTGTATATCAATCAAGGTAAAAAATATCAGAAAAAATTAACCTTTGAATACAAACGAGCATATTATCCCCGAAAATGATTTTCTTATAAGAGACGTGATAATAACAGTTTGAAGAATAGCTGAAACAGGTATTGGAGTTATGTTTGATGCGAAATTATGCAAGTAAAATCTCAGGAAATACCTGTTCAGAAAATGTACTCGCTTCCCAAAAAAAATTTATTCACTTCCCGAAAACATTTATTTAAAAACTTTTAGAGACTCCCCCTAGAAAGTAGATTATAGTAATGTTTCAGTTCAACTCAAAAAATAAAAAAATAAAAATAAAGGAAACATGTTTAGCACGGGTCCTAAACTGAGTGTTTAGAAACCACACTCGGTAAAGCACAGGTCCTGAACTGAATTGTTCAGAAGCCTTTGTTTGGACAGTTTACAACTCCCCCTGTATTAGTGCATCACTGATATGATATTCTAA